CAAGCGTCTACGCAGCACTCAATGTAGAACTAACCGGTATTTGAATTCGTTCATTCCATTCTCCATCAGAACGGATAGATATAATCTCTCTATACCCATTACCAGGTCTTATCTCTGTATATTTTAATTTTATACTGTTTTGTATATTTTTGCTATTCTTAGTTTTTATTTCTTTGTATTTTTGTATTTCATTGTATTGCGATTGTTGCATTAAATGAGTTTCCGCAAGTACCAAATAAATCTGAATCTGAATCTGTATGTGTATGGATGTGTGTGCGTTATGTGTGTGTGTGTTTAAAAATGATTTTATCTGATTTTTGCAACTGAATTTATTATCCTTTTTGAGTCTTTGCAATACGGTATCGCATGATCAGATTTCAAAGTGCACAAAGGAACAAAGGTACTAATTGAGTCTGCCACAATCTAAATGAAAAGGAATGTCAGTAATGCCGAATTGCGCCTGTTCATTCCTAACATTGTGGGGATAGTGAGGCAATTCTGAATTTTGCAATAGAATTGAAATTAGAACGACGATTATAAATATATAATCGCCTCGCACGAAAAATTAGAGTTTAGGCCCAAATACTTTTTTTACTAACATTAATCATAGAGACAACATTTTATCCTTATAGGATTCCTCCAATACCCTTGTCTTATTATCATTCTCGTCGCTTGCCTTTGCAAAGCCTCAAATTGATCAATATGCTTCCTACGATGAACCCACCAAACCGGGCAGCGATGCAGAAATATTGGGAGGGACACTTTCGAAGGAGTATGCATCGCAGGAGAGTAGTCGAATAAGACCAGCTTAGCTCAGTCGGCTAATCTGGAGGTAGCCACTGTGTGGGCGCTGAACCATGGAGATCTCTAGGTCCCCGGTTCAATTCCCATTCGCTGCCTCTCCCTGTGTTTCAGCCGGAGGGCTAAAATACAAGTTACAATAGCACACCGTTTTCCGGATGAGACGTTTAAGCCGTTGGTCCCGTGTGCATTTATGGCCAATGTGACGCTAAAAAACGTAGTACACTCTTCGGAAAAGAGTAGGATATTGTCTCCCGGTGTACTGCTCAATCACCACCAGAATGACCCCACGGGAAATAAGTCTTCTTCTAGACTTTCGTTGGCTATCCTTGATGTCCACACCGAATAAATCTAATCCAATCCAATCCAGACAGAAAGAAGCGATTACATTTAGCTACTGGATCATGAACTTCCATATCCCACAACAGATTTTTTTTTTTAATAGTAAAGCCTAACAATTTGTGAGAATCAACACAAGTTAAAATTGAATTAACAATTACATAAAATCGTTTTTCACACTGTCTTTTCAATTCTAACCTCATAACTTTACATTTGTTAGGGTTCAGTTTCTTTTCGGGCCATGACCCTATAGGTTGTAAGTCATCCTGAAGTGCAAGTTTAGTGACCCCATGATCAAAACTTCTATATCAACACATCGTTAGCATATTGAACCACTGAAGATAATATATTAAGATCCAACGCATTAGTATGCATAACAACAAATAAATGGCTTAGTACTGAGACTTGAGGGACACCAGCTTTAACTGGGAGCCAACTAGGGACTCTGCCCTGTATGAATACATGTTGAAAACGCTAGAGTTGTAGCAATTAAATAAAAACGATGAACGTCGGAATATCATTCGTCCATGGGAAGCCGACTTTATACATGCACTTCCAAGACTAAACGTTATAAAGTGAAAAAGGCTGATCATGCCGGGCCAGAAAAAAATATGCTCCATAGGAAATTATTTCGTATTGACTCGTTTTCATACATCAAACCTGGAAATCTATCAATCTCCACAAAACAATGTTCCAAAGCCGTTCCAAAGTCTATCATAATATGTAAACTAAACCACACCATAATTTGGACACCATGGAGAGTGTGACTCAACCAAATAATAATTTAAGGGTGAAACTACAATCTTAAGTTATTAATTTAAAAGACCATAATTGGCGACTTGAATGAGGCTCAGAAAATTATACAAAAGAGTGCCCATAGACTACTCCCTAAAATATGGCAGATGTTTCGTTGGCCAGTCTTTGTTAATGAATTTATCACCATTATGATCAAAATACACAGAAGAAGGGTCACCCCCTATAAAGATTGTTGAAATTAAAAAAATGTATATATACATAAATTGACTGGAAAATGCAATTTTTTTTACCCTTGACCCTATTTTTCTGGCATAATCTTATCTCCATAACTATTGGTTACGAAAATTGGTTTAAGTCTAAAATTGTAGAGAACATGGCTATATATATTTGTACCAATTGAATAATTTATCAAAAATATACCAGAAATAACCTTTCCGAAATCGACCCATGTTACTAAACATACTTTTAGTATAATTCAGTCCCAAATTCTACAGGGCATACCTATTTATAATTCGTCTAACTTATATGATACAAAAATAACTGGAAATGCCATGACCTTCGATATTTGTATACCATACTTGAATTCAGCAAAATACTAAGTGTTATGTGTCTAGGAAATAAAATGGCTCGTGGCATCAGACCTTAGATGGTATTGTGTGCGATAGTAAAACAGGTGTCAAAAGGCGTTGGTGGTAAAAGGCAGATGAAAAATGTCTGGTGGGGTGCTAAAAATTTTTATTGTAGCGTGTTGTAAGATGAAGGTGTTTTTACCGTTTCGGGAACATATTCCATCAGTGATCGTGACGTCATCTAAAGCAATATCACCTGTAGAACTACTTCCTACAATTCCTTCAAACATTATCTGGAAGGCATTGTTTAATTCAATTGAGATTTGTCCAAGTCGCCAAAAGTTCCCTTGGTCGTTTTTATTTGTCCACGCAATTGTACCAACAGTACTTGTTGTATTGACTATGTACACATTCAGTGTATTCACTGTGGCTCCGTACATGTGGTAGTACCACTGGACGCATGTGCCGTCCGTTGCAGGATATGAAGTTGTCCAAATGCGAGCAATGTCATTGAGGTTTTGAACTGAAGTTTCTATGTATATGTAAAAACCTGTAAGCAAATAAAATAAATTTTCGATTTCAGAGACATTGATTTACATCTATTTGGAATTGTACTATTTTAGTTTATTTGTGTGAAGTTTCAGCAATATTTATATTAGTAATTAAAATTTTGCATTTAGAATTTATAAACGAAAAATGTGAACTTTGTGTTACCTTGTAATGTTCCGTATGTGTGGTCATACTCAGGGCCAGTACCATGTGAGGGTGTTGATCCAGATGTCCTTATCCAATCAAAGTCATCCAATTCATCTTGTACAAAGTAACAGATGTATGGATCTTCGAAATCACATTGGTTTTGTGCTGAAACAAAAATCCCAAGACAAAATTAATTAACCGATTGTAATTGCATTGGTTAAAAGAGTTACTGTACTGGAAACCAAAGTACAATAACTCGTAACTTTATTAGGAAAACATCTTATCATAAATTTGCAGAATTCGGTAGAAGCTTTTTCAGTAATAATAAAAAAAAAAACACATCCCAAATTTCACTCGCATAAAGTCAAACCCGTATCCTCAACACATTGTTCCACAATGTTAATGGTATATTACCAAAAATATTTTTGTTTTGAAACTTTAAAAATTAATTTACTTAATTAGCTTCCTAAAAATTGTATTATTGGTTCATGCAATTTCTCGTTTGAACTAAAGACGACACCTACAGTAAATACCTGAAAGATTTACAATTTCAATTACAAATTTATTTTAATTCCAATTTGCTTGAAATACGTTCTTTTCTGTCTACAATAATATTATTATTTTACCATTTTTTACAGCATATAGCCAAAGATGTTAATGTCAATGAACCATGTCATTCAATAATGCAAGATTACTTATGTAAATTAAAATGGTTAGATAATAAATCCCCTTTTCGAATGTTGTCTCTATACTATTTTTCGTTTAATAATAATAATAATAATAATAATAATAATAATAATAATAATAATACATTTCTATAGTGCAAATAAACGAGGTCTCTATGCGCTCAACAAGGACAAGAAACAATGAAAAAAGACAAAAAAAAAAAAAAAAAAAAAAAAAAAAAAAAACACAAGAAAAACACAAAAAAAAAAAATCAATAAACACATAGCTGGCACCCAAACCGAAGTATGGGGTTATTCCATCACCGGCATCCGGAGATCTGTGTTTATATGTACTCCAGTTAGAATCGGTTAAGTCTTGATCTTTGCTGGGATTATTAGTTAAAAAAATAATAGATGAAGAAGAGATAAATGTATTTTCAGTTCCAAACTCAAACTTAGTACTGATGTTGACAATAATTTTTCAGTACTCATTCTAGAAGCCTAGATTTATGCATAATATTTACAATCTTTTCAGAAACTGATCATGTTGTACAAATTTTAACCATGTTCTGCACACTAGATTTATTATTATATTTAGCTCAATACGTAATCTACATTCTTTATCGCTGTAAAAACTTACACATATTGCAAGTTGGTCCAACAAAACCAGACATACACTGACAGTTCTCGATTCCGTAAGCCGATACACAAACTCCGCCATTCAAGCAGTCAATATCGCAAGTTTCTTCAATTAGAAATTGAATATTAATTAATGACATACTCTGTTCGTATCAAAATAACCTCATCGCTCATCGCAATACTAATTGTATGAAATTATTATTGTTATGAAGATCGCATTTGTCTTTATATATATATATATATATATATATATATATATATATATATACATTGATTGATATACATTGTTTATGTAAGCGATAGATTATTGGCGGTACTTTTGAGCCAGCTTGACACTCACACTTAATTGCTAGTTCTATATGTATAGTTTAAATTATATAACGCATGATATGATGACTATTACAGTAAATACAGTTTTGAAATCAAGGAACATGATATAATGTACATACGTAGAAATAATATATATAGCATACATAATTAAGATATTTTATTCAAAGTGAATTGTTCCGTATGAAAGCTTTCGTATAATATATAT